TGTTCCATGATAGGTGGGAGGTAAGACTGGCAAAAAAGGCCGAAATCAGGGTGTCAAAAGCTCACAAGGCCCATGGCAAACGCAAGATGTTGAGAATTGGCCATTTGGGTCATGACATGACCTGAAAAACAAGGTCATATCTCCGAAACCAAAAATCACAGAAACTTGAAATTTTCAGTGAACATCAAGAAAGGATAGAGGAGCAGCTATACGAAAAATCAGCCTTCTAGCTCCAAAAATGTTGAGTGCAGAGCAGAAAGACTGCCTGGGGGGGGTGGCAACCACCCCCCCCCCCATGTGCGGGCGAGGGTTAAGTCAATGGAGAAAACTGAAAATGCCTCTAGATCCGTGTGTACGCATAGGAACAGTCCAAATATTTCAGAATCACAATGATTTGGACCACCCGTGACGACCAAGGTGTCTTTTTTTTTGCTGATAGCCTCTAGAAAGGTCATCCGAGGTCATTTGAGGCTACAAACAGATTTTTGCCAATAACTCTCGATTGGAAAGAGATAGGACGCTGGGGATTGCCTCATGGTATTTGTCTTGTTGAGACGCATTGAATGATATGCAACATGACCTTTTCCGGTCAGGTCATGACCTTGACCTGAGGTCAAATTTTTAAGTTGACCTTTCAAGGTCAAATTATAGTTCATTCGACGCGTCTCGTCGAGAGGAACACGATTCTGGCAATAGAAATGTCGTGGCTTTTTCTAGTCAAAAGTTATTGTCGAAAAACACTTTGCGAAAAAGCAGCTATTTTTTTAGTTTTTGCCCTCTGGAGGCTAAACCGTTGACCTGAGGTCAATTTTGATGATGACCTTATCAAAAGAAGAGTTCAAAAGCTATCGATTGCGTTTCCATGCGTTTTTCTAGCAATCATAGTTCCTGAGATAAATGCATGTTTTCTGAAAAATATAATGACATTTGGCAAATTTTGACCTTTGATGACCTCCAGTGACCCCAATATTGCTCCAAGATGAAAAATGACCGAAATACTTTCAAACGTACTCATTGAGAGCTATCGACTGCTTTCTACCGCGTCTTTCTGGCCCTCTTAGTTTTTTAGTTAGAGGTGGGTGGTAACATATGCCCCCCCCCCCCACCCCACTAGGGCGAAGTTGGCTGAGACCGCCACTGGGGCGCGGGTTAAAGACTTGTAAGTTAAAGAAGATTAGTACCTACTGGGCCCACTGAGGATCAAACCGTCATCAAACTAATATATTTGAAACGGTATCACAATGAGAAAATACATCAAGAACATGAAATTAGTTTATGACAAGGAAAGCCCATCTCATGCACTTACCGACAGTGAAAAAATAATTTTGAACTTGGTTGCATGACCCTTGCAGGGTAGTCAAAAAGCGAGTGACTACCAATGACTGCCAACGTGCTGACTGTGAAGGAAGTGGAGGACCTCATCCTTACAGATCGTCGTGTGACCTTTCAGATTATTATGCAACAGAAAGGTCTCAATGCTGGCAGTGCCTGGAAATATTATCAGCGAAGAGCTACAGACGTTAAAGGAGTCAGCCCGCTTAGAAGTTCGTGTGTTGAGTTTGTTCAGGAGAAAAGTGCATCTAAGCCTTAAGAGCAAAAACTAGGCCTTTTTCAAACAATTAAAGAAACATTATATCGTTTGATCACTTTTGACGAATGCTGGGTACATGTGTATGATCCAGAGACAAAAGAGATGATAAAGAAGTTGAAGCACAGCATATCTGACCTCCTTAAAAAGCGAAGATGCAGAAGCCGATATGGAAGGTCAATGTTGTAAGTGTTCTGAATCTGGCGTAGGGTAGACATTACCGAATGTCTTGATGATGAGCGGATAATAATTAGCACGTAATACTGCACACTTTGGAAAAAGTTGCGGGATGCGCTCGAGCGGAATCGCCGCAAAAAAAAAAAACAAGAAAAATGTTTTATCCTCGCCGACAGCGCCCCCAACAACTCGTCCTGAGCTGACCTTGAGGTGCCGTAACCTGAGGTCAACCTTTGACCTTGACTTTTTGAGGTCAACACATAGGGGAGACCCGGGAGGTATGGGCCGGTTTTGTGAAAAGGCAATTTTCTTCCAGTGGGCAGTGGCTAGACCCGGTTTTTCACTCTGTGTACGTGAAAGTGCCTTTCGCCTGCAAAGTATGCCTGATATTAGGCATCTGCGATCAACTATTTGTCTCGAGATAACTTTCAATAAACTAATGCGTTTTTTTCGATCCATTAAAATACACCGTGAGGTATGGGCCATGACCCGGGAGGTATGGGCCGGTGCCATGTTTCATATTCTTTTCTCGAATGAAAACAATACTCGCAGCTGGTATCTACCTTGATCTCTCTTAGAGCTCTGGTTAAAGCCCAGGAACCGCATAAGCGGCCAACAGCTTTCTTTATGGTCACTTGAGCACATGATTTCGGTAAACTCAATCATGCTCCATGAAATAAGAGAAATGATATTTTTTTCTGTTCGAATGAAATTTGTAGTTAAATTTTCGACCTTGCGCGACAAAAATAAAACTTATTGAAGAGGCCATTCAATGAAAGCATCATTTTATTAATTTAGGATCAACGGAGGTGGGTGGCCCGAACCTCCCGGTTACAGGGGCGTAACCACCTAAGCGGACACTGCGGAAAGACCGCACCATTTTTTACGGGCGCCGCGCCCCTCCTCTCCGTCCTCTTTTCAGTACCTTTATATTTGCTGCACACAGCGCACCACCCGTGAGAAACGTTTCACAAACGACAGTCTCTCGCTACCAAGGCGCCCCTTTTCGCATGGGGGCGCCCCCATTAGCTTCATAGGCGTCCCTCTTTTGCATGCAGGCTCCCCAATGGGCCTCAGCGGCGCCCCTACCGGCCTCACAGGTGCTTCTCTTTCGAATGCAGTGCGTCCCTCTTACGCATGCAGGCGTGCATCCATTTTTCGCATAGAGACGCCCCCTTGGACATCAAAGGCGCTCTTCTTTCCAACTGAGGCGCCCTATGGGCTTCACAGGCGCTCCTCTTTCTATGGGCTTCAGAGGCGCCCCTCTTTTGCATGTCGGCGCCCCTCATTCGTATGGAGACGTCACTATGGCCTTTATTGGCGTCCCTCTTTTTATGGGCGCCCTTTGCTCTATGGGTGCCCCTTATGGGTCTATATCACTATAGACCTTGGAGGCAACCCTAACTAAAGGCCTCACAGGTGCCCCTCTTTTGCATGTAGGCGCCCCTGAAGCCATCAGAGGCGCCCCTATAGGCCTCACAGGTGCCTATCTTCCGCATGCAATGCGCCCCTCTTATGCAAGCAGACACCCATCTGTCGCATGGAGACGCCCCTATATGCATCAATGGCGCCTCTATAGACCTCACAGGCGTCCCTCTTTTCCATTGAGACGTCCCTACTCGGGCTTCACAGGCGCTCTCCTTTCTATGGGTCTCAGAGGTGTCCCTCTTTGGCGTGCAGGCGCCCTTCTTTCGTATGGAGGTGCCAGTCTATGACCTTCATCTTCATGGGCGCCCCTCTTTTGCACATGAGCGCCCCTCTGTTGTATGCTGTACTTTAGGCCTCATAAGTTCCCCTCTTTCGCACGCAGGCGCTCCTCTTTCGAATGCATGCGCATTGCGCCCTCTCTTTGTATGCAGGCGCTCCTATGAGGTTCTTTCAGGGCACCTCCAGAAATCCTCGGGGGTCCTCAGAGACCAGCACGGTAGACAAGAGACTCTGGTGTGGGACGACCCTCAGGGGTTCCTGTATGTGGCTTTCACAGTCGCTGGTGAGGGTCCTCACAAGCGTCGTTGTGGGGCTCTCAAACATTGCTTAAGGGCCATCACAGGCGTATGTGGGGCCTTTAGAGCTGCTGTTGCAGACCATTCATATGCCAACAAGGTCGGCGGTGCCTCCAGGAGCCCTGTAGGGTCCCTGGAGACCGGCATGGTACTCTCAGAACCCGCTGAGACCTTGAGAGTCACCAGCGTGGGGCTCTCAGAATTGCTGATGTAGGGCCTCTTGAGAGACACTGGTGTACGCCCTCAGAGTTGGGTGTGTGGACCATGGGACCCTCAGAGACGTCGGTGTGGACCTTTAGAGACGCCAGTAAAGGCCCTCACAGTCACCGTTATTTGGCCCTTGGAGAAACTGCTGTGAGGCCATCACAGACGGGTGTGGGGTCCTTAGAGGGTAGAGCTGCTGGTCCCTAATTGGCCGGCAAGGGTCCTCAGAGTCCGATAGGGGACCCTGGCTCAGAGGCCGGCAAGGGGCCCTTAGAAGTCGGCGTGGGTCCCTTTTGGAGATTAACTTGGCTACTTAGTTGCCCATGAATGAGGCATGAGGTGCTCTTGCGAGCCCTGTGGGGCCCTTCTGAGTTGAAATATGGCCAACGCGGACCATCAGTGGTCAGGTCCATTGGCGTCGCAGGGCACCTCGGGCCCGGGGCCCCCTGAACTTGAAGGGGGAAACGTTCACCCTGGTCCCCCTGGCTAGTGGCTACGTCACTGTCCGCTTCCACATGAAGGCTTCCACAATTCCACCGCTTCCACTGTCCGCTTCTTTCGCACCCCATTTCCCTTATAGGCGATGGCGCCCCCTCGAAGGTTGGCGCCCCCTTGAAGGATGGCGCCCCCTATGAGTTTGTCCGCTCCATTTTTTCTAGCGTGGTTACGCCCCTGCCCGGTTAGGACGCCAGCATGTATGTATGTACGTAGCATCTCAGCTCATAATCTTGTAAGAAAACTTCAAAATAAAAACGGCGGCACTCCGCCCCGCGCCGCTATTTTTTGAGATAGGGTACTGGACGAACGCTATTCTAGAAAAAGCATTGGGAGACAGCTAGCTTTTTGGGACAATGTTGCGGCCTCTCATAGTTGGATAAGGAATATGTATGTTGCCTATCCTGAAAAGGCAACATGGATGTTATGATAGATGAATGAATATGGATGATAAATGGAAAAATATTAGATGAGTGATGGTATTTCAATACCTACATTTGAATTGATTTACAAATAATTGAGGAGATTCTTACCACATCGATGTCACGACAGTCACTGCAGTCAACTCGTATTGCGTTGGAGCAACTTGGCGTCACGTCGCAGCAGGGGATGTCACAGATGCCGTACAGGCTGCAGCCGTGGCTGACAGAGACAGACAGTGACACAAACACGAGCAGGCTGCGAAGCCCGGCCATGACGGCCATGGTACTCGCGGTGTGTCGGGTCCCTGCTCCCGGCACTCCGGACGTGGCGCTGGACAACGCCCCTCCGCGTCTGTCGGGGAGCGTCAGCTGACACAGTCTGTCCGTCTGATAATACTGCGCCACGCCCTGAAGATGGCATGGTGACTCAGAGTCCAACCAATCTATACTGCAAGGCCTATCTTTGTGTCGCAACCGGCAATCGGCCAGGCAGTAGGCACTTCACTAATCACTGCTTCTACCCTCAACAGGTTAGCGTGTCTGCATCTAGTAGTCATGCTAGCACTATTAGTTGTATATTCTTCCATCAGGTGTCACTACTGACGCATCAGATAGGCATACTCTCGTCATATGCACTCCGTCACACATAGGTGGGTGGCCAGGCTGATGAGTGGTCTGTTAGTCTACACGTCTGACCAAGTATGCAAGGTGCCACTTGCAGAGCATGGAAATCCCACATTAATGGGGTCCACAGTTCGACACTACCTCGTAAGGCCCTCAAACTGCGTTCGGAAAGCCTTCCACCATCTGAGGTCATACACCAGTCTCCTCCCGTCCCGTGCTTCTATCCTCAGGATTCTGAAATCCTTCTCCTCCACGCCGCAACCCCCCTCCGGACTGGACAGGCAACTTTATCTCATGCGGGCTGCTCCCTTGGAGCGGCACCGCTGCTCCTGAGGGAGCGCACCCCGTAGCCGGGTGCAGTGAGTGCCTTGGGGCTGGGTGGCCTGTCCTCTGGACGGACTCAGCCCCGGCGACTCACTAGGGTGCCTGCCCAGACCAATGTCTCCCCCTAATTCCTATCATCCTTCCGGCTCTGCAATGGTCTTGTCAGACCGAAAGAGCCTAACCCAACAAAACAAACAAAAACAAACAAACACCAGTCTCGGAGAACCCACGCTTCCCTCTGAGGGTTCACTGCTTGTATGGAAAGGCGTAAAACCGGTATGAGAGTGCCTGGAAGGCCTTGAAAAGTTTTGGTTTCATGGCCCAGCCAATCATACTTATTACGTGTTCAAAGCCTGGCAGTGGAATTTCACGAGCCCCACAAGATATCAAGTTCTGTGGGAATGGGAATATCGGATAACTATATTTGGCGGTCCCATTAATGCATCCAAGGTCCATTTAATTCATTACCCTGACCGACGATCCAGGAGCTGACTATTTTCAGGAATTGTCTTACTGTCAAAAATGCCCAGGAAAGCACGAGAAAAGGTTTTCATACTTTCTTGCTAAGAACGTTCGAGCGTGAGACATATAGGTCATTTTCCTCTTAAACGTATTTTGATAAAAGTTAAAAACGATACATGAACTGCTCCCCATAACTATGCTATCGCGCGTCATTATATTTGACTTCGGTGCAAACCTGGCTTTAAAAAAAAAAACAGATTTACCAAAACGCCAACAAGTGGCTATCCTTCACCGCGCAAGATGGATAAGATGATGAGCGATCGGGGCCGAAAAATTGAACTGTGACCAAACCCCAGTACACCCACCGTGTTAGAGAAGGACGGGTACTGTGGTATCGGTACCTATTCCACGTCTCCCCATGCAAAATGACGAACTAAAACTCGCAAAACTCCCCATAAAAAAAAAAAACAGAAAATGAAATATCTTATATTGCTTTCTCAACAAACCGACATCAACAACTTTGTATCGCAATATTTGGTACAAAAACACACGGGAAACAAATCGCTGCACATATAAAGACTACCATATGTACAAAACACTCACCGGCTGCACCCGACCCCCGTGCTATATCTCGTCCTATCGTCTACCAATTCACAACTACCCGACAGACGGCACCTCTCGTAATAAATATTAGAGATTACGCTAGGAATCTGTCACGATTCCCGGCTAAGATCATCATTCGTCAGTCTAGCGTGGACAAACCAGAGTGGCATCCGCTCCGAGACCAAAAGGAAGCTGAGGTGAGAGCTCCTTCCTCTTCAGGTTCGAGCATCAGTCTGCTCCTGGTCCGTGGGCATCCCTTAGCTCGTGCCGCGTGAAACGATACACCCTGACGTCTCGCTAGTGCGACTTGGCTCACGGAGGACCTACCACTCTCACCGCGCTCACCGCGCTCACCACTCTCACCACGCTCACCGCGCTCACCACGCTCACCACGCTCACCACTCTCTCACCGCACGGCGGCACCAAACAGTGTTCCAGAGCACCACACTAGGGCCAGCTGAGAGGGTCACGTCACGACAGCAGACAGCTGACTACGGCCTGGTTGAGGTCACGGCGAAACGTCTGAGATCAGCTGATGTCGCTCTCTCGTAGCCCGACTGTCGAGCCTGCAAGAGAAATGAAACATCAGGTCATCTACCGTTATTGCAAACAGAGTAGGCTAGGCTATTTTGGCGTTTCCTAATAATGGTAATAGTTTAATTTAGTTCATGGCCCCGATCACGAGTATTTGGCCGTTTCCCACGGTTCAGACTCGGTTGAAAGCCTTGGCTAGAGAGGTACAGCAATCGCGTGCGTTCCCGGAAAAATATCGAACGCACGGTGGCTGTTTTGCCTCCGGTCGACGCGCTGCTATGCGGCGGCGCCTCCCGGCCAGGGTGCTGATTTGTATGCCACCTGCGGTTATCAGATGACTGTGTCGCGCGCTGTTTTGCTCGTGCTGCGGTGTTGTCCCATCACGGTATGCGCTGTTCCGGCCAAGCCACTAATTGCTAATGATCAGTTGTCATTTAAAGACGCCAGCGCAAAAATGCGCGTGCCACTTAATGCACCTGCCGTCACAGCGCAAAAACGGCCCTTTGCGTGGCAAAGGTCCCCTCGCCAATTCCACTCCATGTTTCGGGTGGCAAACCGTCATACCTCTCAACGTTTTGGCTACCTCAGATTACCGCTCTTTTTTATCAACGCCAACGATGTCGCTTTGGAATGCTGACCGTAAAATTACCAGTTCGGAACATTATCATTCACACCGTGCGACACCAGCAAATCGCCTGTACCAAATCAGGCAAAAAGGGACTAATTTCGGCCCATGGGTAGGGTAGTGTGTTCACGTACCTGAGGGGGACGGCGGAGCTGCTGGTGACCGCTCCGGTGGCAGGGTGCGCCCACGTCGGTACCCGAGTCTCCTCACGGCTGGCCGCGTCATCTCCTGACGTCTCCGACGGTGACGAGGCCGACGACGTCGAGAGCGGCGTCGTAAAGTCGTGCAGAGACGACACATCCGCCCAGCCGGCGAGCAGAGGGCGCTGTTCGACCGCGTGGGGATCCCCCAGGCGCGGTGAGCCGACCGCCTCGTGCGACGGAGCCACCAGGTCCGGTACGCGCTGGTTGCTCTCCTGCCACGGAGGGCTGAAAGACCAGCTCTCCTGAGCGGCTGTCGTCTCCAGCGCCGGATCCACGCCCTTCTGACCAGGTCCCTGCAGCCTCAGCGGCGAGAACCGCGCCGCGGTCATCACGGCAGTGTCGCCGCCTCCTCCGCCGCCTCCGCCGGAGAAGCCAAAGTGGCCGTCTCTGCGCTCGGAGCCGGGCGAGGCGGCGTGCTGCGGCGAGCCGCGGCCGCTCCAGCCGTAGCTGCCGTAACCGCTCTGTCCGTAGGCCATCAGCCGCCGTTTGATGGGCAGCGGCTGGCGCGGGGGGCTCCCAGCCGGAGGCACTACTGTGGGCGCGCACAGCCGACGCCGCGGGGAGGGCGGCGTGGCCGGCCGCTTCTGGGGCGAGGTGAACGGCGCCGGGCACGGCGCCGGTGCCGGCTCGGGCCGCTCGGCAGCCGCCGAGCTGAAGGTGTGCTCGTAGCGCGGCCACTGCGACGGCTCCAGGGACGGGTAGGCGTGATAGGGCGCCGGCGGCAGCGCGTACTGGGCTGTCGGTAGGACTGGAGGGGACAGGTGGTGCGCGCCCGGGTGCGGGGAGATGGGCGCGTGCAGGTAGGCCGAGTGCAGAGCGGCCGCCTCGTGCGGGTGGTGGTGGTGGGAGTAGCCGAGCAGCTGCTGGTAATAGGCCGGCGCCGGCGTCTGCGCGTCGTACTGCAGGCTGTACTGCAGCTTGCCCTGCATCGAGTAGTAGTGGTAGAGCCAGGCGTTGGCACGCATCACGGCCGCCTCCTCATCACTGAAACGGAACGCGACTGCGTCAGTCTCGGCAATCCGTCCACTGCTTCACTCTCAAATACTAACAATCCGTGGTAACCGAAGTTAATTTCGGTATATATTATACTGAGAATGTGGCACCTTAAGTGAAGTCTGAAAATATATCATATCAGATATATCAGCGCTATTCCCAGACTGCGGCTTCTTGTCATCAAAACTAGTTAAGATAGGAACAACTGACGTTCGCTTCCAGTTTGATTATTTATACTTCAGATTATTTAGCGGTCCTTTTCTGGAAAACCGCCGATGCGTTTAGCCGTCGGCCCTTATCAGCGAGATCTGAAAGGCGTTATCTCGGCTGCAAGGACTGAAGTCTAACTGGGCTGAGGCGGTAACACCTCTGAGCGTCTGACTACCGACCGATAGGTGATGGAGGCCAGCCGCGGTGACCGGCAATTACTCGTCAGCTTAGTGTCTGTAAAGCGCCGCCACTGGGGCACCAAAAGTGTGGCATCTCAGGGCTGCGTGAGAGCGTACCCCCGCCCCCTGCAGAGACACATTTTTGACCGAGTCCGACGGGTGCTGACGAGCCGCGCACAGTGCCAACTTGCCGGGACGATAATCGCATCATTAATTATGGCTTCGTAGGTCGCCCGTGACAGACGATTGCAAGGTCTACTGCTGATGCCCGACAAACCTGATTCTAGCTCAGTAATGTGGTCGGCATGAGAAGTGACGAATTGAGAAGGTGTGGTGCATTGTTTTCGTGCATTTTCCGACCGTTATTCGCCGCTTTTTGCTGTCATAATTGAACCGCACCTAGAGTTGCAATCACGTCCACCGCTGCATCTCAGAGAAACTCAAGGTGGCCCCAATCAATGCGACCCTTCCCGCCCAGAAAAATCAGCTCGGCTTTTGCTAGCAAAGCAAAACTGTAATCCGTCTGGTTGCAGGGTCCGATTTTTGCGCGGTGGTCTCGGCCATTTCTCTGGCCGGGCCTCTAACTGTCGACAGGCGAGCGGCGGACTTGCGGCAGATCTGTGCGGCGATACCGGCTGATCAGTCAAGGACCCCGAGAGTGGTCTGCAAGGTCAGGACGGCGCGCCTCAGAGTCGATCGGCACACCGGGCTGACCGGAGACGGTCACACAGACTCGTCACGGCGCTCATCCCCGGGTCTTGCACCAAACTCATCCGGGAATTATACCAGAACTGCTTGGCACTCCCACCGGCATTATTCAGTGGGTTCCAGCACAGTCTGTTCATATCACCGAATCGGTACGAAACCGGAATTGGCAGCGTGTTTCTGCCACGCTCCCATGGCCAGACGGCACCCGGCAGCCGCGAAGGCCGTCCTGGGAGTTAGGCTGTGCCGCGCGACACTACCGACTCTGCAGATCCTGTTTCGATCCAGGATGTTGGGCCACCTGAGAGCGCATGGTAATGGTGCCAGCTGCCGGGTGTTGGTTTATTCAATGACCCATGTTTCCATTGACATTAGGGGATCCGTTTAAGAAGGCTTGAGGGCAAATGAGGTAATGGTGACGGACGAAGATAGCGTGGGAGATGCACTTTTATACGAACCCATCTGTGAAAGTATTGGATGTGTCAAGTAGGCACCGAAACATTGAATGTTCTTATTTTGCGCTGATGTTTCAGCCGAGTCCAACGAAGTATACAGAATATTCACCGATTCATCAACAACTCATCTTATTTTTTAAGTGGAGTATGTATAATATTGATAATTATAATGAAGATAATGATAGGGGAGATAATGATAATGGAGGGCGGCTCACCTGAGGACCTGGCAGGTGCAGATGATGACCGGGTGTTGCGAGCTCTCCAGGTTCTCCTTGACCTGCAGCACGCAGTGGGCCCAGAGCCAGTGACCCCCGCGACCCTGCAGACGCAGCAGCAGGATACAGGCGCGGTCCTGGTCCGACGTGCTGACTGAAAACGCAAATGGACCGTAAGAGTCGGTGTGTGGTTAGTCTTAATGACGAAGGATGCAAGACGATGATCCAGCGCTTTTATGTGGGTAGGCACATTACCTATATTATCTGGTACTGACATGGAATAGGCACCGAAGCATAATGCCTTCCATCCACTGTTACGCCAGATTGAAAATACGATTATATTTTCCTAGTTGTGTAAAATTAGATACCTCCAGGCTCCAGCAGACGGTGGTAACAATACTGTGGGATTTGCGCTGTTTTGGAGACCAAGACGAAGCATATCTGTGACGCGAGGCAGACATGGTCGGCTCTTATTAGAGCTGATTGCTGAACAAGACCCGTGTCGCTTTTGGGTGACAGCCTGGCCACGATTCGTGTATGACAGGCTCCAGCGCCATTGTCAATGGCTAATCGCATTGTTTGACACGATCGGCCGTCGACAAAAGTGTGCAGTCGGCCGTCAGCGAACAACACCAAGCAGCGGAGAGCCGTCGGCAGGTCTCAGGCGACAGGTTTGCCGCAGTTAGCGACTGTTGTCACCGTCTGCTCCGACACCAGCTAGGTACAATCAACATATCCGCGCCGTCTTTGAAGCCCACTTTTTGCGAACCAGAGCCGAGCAAAGTAACTGCATATGTATGAATTTTATGGCAGAACTTATAACTTAACAAAATTATAAGGATTGGTAGCATGATTGGGTGTCCCTAGCAGAAGCTGTGGGCACTACGGCTTCTCCCCAGCATTTGCACATATTGACTGGTCAAACAGATGTCTCCGGCCGTTTCTGTTGGCTGAGAGCACTCTTTGAGTTTGAGCCGTGTTTGCTGAGTTAACTCGCTGAGTTTGAGCCGCACCGGCTGAGCTCACTCACTGAGTTTGTGCTTGCTTTGGACGTCTCGCATGTTGTCCCAGTGGACGAGCTGATACCAGGAGAGTCCCTGAATCTCTGCGCTCCGGTGGCCCAGGTAGAACTCTCCGCTGAAAGGGTAGAAAGACGAGTGTCAGCATGGTGAGGAAATGACACAGGACAAATGCAAACCGAGCCAGAGTGGGCGGTTGGGCGTGATGGCCGCCGTGATGTTAGGTTACGACACCTGTATGCGTGAGTTAAGTATTTTTTACGATCATGTTGATTACCGTGCATAAAATTAAAGACAACGAAGAGTTCTGATAAATCATTATAAATAATCTAGGGTCAACTCGTATTTCTTACTTTTTCTCAGTGATGCGAAGGCTAGTTAAGCTACGTAATAGTACGAAGATAAGGAACACTCGATCGTCTTTGCCGGTCGGTAGATAATTTCATCACGTTTCAAAGTGGTAGGAACTGTGAATGCAAGTAAGAGATGACCTTCCTTCATGGACTTATAGCGTTTGATTTCATCACAACTAGTGCCAGCTGTTCCTCAAATTTAGCTTCTTCGTCCGATTTCCTGACATTACGCTATTCCGGCCGGAGCAGGAAAATAAATAACTAGCCTAACGGGTAAAACAAAACATACGATACATAATAATTATCAAATATACTCAGTAGTCAGTTTGATTGGTTGAACAGGCTAATAGAAGCTAAGCTTAATAGGAACGGCATATCTAACACTTGAATGTAAGTAAAATTTACTTCTAAGTAGGTATGCGCAAAATAACTTCTCAGATTTCGTTTCCTTTTATAGTGTCGGCAGCGACCAGTGAAGTCACGATTATCAATGCCTACACACAACACACTGTGCCCGCCCCCGTATCTGAGCCGCCCCACAAAAACCATGTCGGCTGACGACGGGGCAGGTCACAAAAACAGTTGTCGTCTGGCCCGCCGCCGCGGCCGCCGGCCGCCGCCGCACACTTATCAGACATTAGTCGATTGCGATGATACTGGTATTATGGGCGCGTGGAGCGCTTCCGACTCGCCCTGCGCCGCACCGCGACGGCGCCCGTTGTGCTTTTTTACACGTGCCCTTATATTGACCTAGCGATGAATAGAAAACCAGCCCGATGTAGCCCATCACTGCTTGAAGATTGGATTTTGACCTAAAGCCAAGTGCAGAATTATCAAGGACTTGTAAAGTAATGAAATCGCCAGATTCACGTTTTGCAATTATCATATCCAAAAAGAAAATGCTAAAATCCCGGTATTTATCAGTAGAGTGGACCATTTAGCGTGCCATACCACACATCACTCCAAAGTCCATCGGAAAGTCCGCGGACTCCGGAAAACCAGTACAGCAGCACCTCAAATTAGCCACCCTCAGTTATTCAATTCGGGTAGCTTTCAGTTTAGGGTGGCGGCTACCTGTAATTGACGCTGGTTCCGACTGTTCTTGGCCGCTCAAAATCGCCTTTGGCCAACATAAGTCGGCTTATTGTTCCACCGGTTAGAGCGGATCGCCTATCCGCGTGAGTGGAGTCCGCCGGAAGCAAATAATCGCTGATTGCTCGCACCTGTGTGGCGGAGATTCCCGCTCGGATGAAGGAAGTGCCAGATCCGGTCAGAAGACGGACGGCACAACGCCGCAATCGTAGCGCTAGGTCCACGAGCATGGTGCGAAACTGAATCTGTACGGCGCCACGTGTCCTGGTTATAGGTTAGGCGTTTACACAGTCATCTGCGAGATTTAGTATGAGAAGATGACGCTCTGAACCGGCACTGCCTTAGCTTCCACGCCGTGGTCGTGGTGGCGTTTGAGCGCTAGGGAGACCGGAACTGCATCCTGTTGCGCATGTCTGTTTCATAACTCCGACGCACTCTGAATCATGAGCTGATTAGTTTGGTATCTCCACCCAGATCATCTCCCATGCCATAAAGTTACGCCTGAGTCTGGAGGCAGCTTATGACCAACCGCAAAGCTGGCCAAGTTAGTGTGAAACGTTATTGGTTCCGGAAGGAACGGTCCCGTTTGCAGCTTTGGCTTATCGCCGGCTCTGCCGGATGGTGGCTCCCCCACTCGGCACAGCTCTGAGAGCGTCGTGACGCGGTGCGGAGAGCTGCCGAAAGCTAAGAGCCCCTCCACGGCCGCCCCCGCTGCTCCCGCTCATCCGGCGAAGTCAAAATTCCGCCATCGCCCCGCTCGTCTCCGCCAGCATTAGAGAAGCCCTAAAAACGACGTTTCATAATCCGACATACACTAAATGAACATTAGCCCGGGTACGGACAGTCGATGTTCTAATGGACGGGGCATCGGCGGGCGCAAAAACCACGTGCGCCCCGCCGTCGTCGCTCGTATCGGAGAGCCCGCCGGCGGCGGTGGCGGCGCGGCGGCGACGTGGAGTGGCGCGCGCCGCCTGCCGCCGATATCGGCCGCCGCCAGCCGTCTCCGCTCTAATGGTGCGTCTAGACTGTCGGCAAAACCGGCGCGCTGGCCGAATAGTCCGCGAACCTGGCGCTCCGTTCGGAATATCACCGAAGGCGGGCACGTCGCTCGGGGACTCAAGGTAGACGGGGGGAGGCTGAGTCAACGCCAACGCCAAGATGCCTCAGCAATTTTACAAAATACGTGCGTACTCGACAGTTCTTGAAGGTTGCATGCGAAGGTAAGATGGACATTGCATAGTTGTGCAATGTGTTTAAATTGGTAATGCATCATGTTACATAAGAAGTGTCACGAAGCACAAAGGTCTTCCCTCTTGTCACCGTATCAGACTGAGGTCGCGCCGGATTCGGTGTATCCAGAATAAGAAATTACTGAGCGTCTCGTGACAAGTCCGTTTATTTTAACTCAGTCTATTTCGGTCGGAGCCGAGAGGATCCGGCAGGGACATCAGTCTGACACGTGCCACTTTACGCGTCAGCGGGCGCCCTGCCCTCCCTTCACGGACGTGAAACCGGTATCCTGGGGGCATCTCCTACCTTTGGTGATAGCAAGAGCGTCATGTCCCAAACCGTGTCCTCTTTGGTGACTGAATACTGGTAAGCACGTCTTCGATACTGAAGACAGTTGAAAGAGTATCGAAACCCGGCGCTGGACTTCACGAATATTTAGAAAATAGCAGCTACCAACGGCAACGGAAAACGTAAGCAACGATCATTGAAGGTCTTTGTCTTTTAATCGTGTCTTGTCGAGGAATATTCTGAACGACTTGTAAACATGCACAGATCAAACAACAGACTAATTATCATATTGTGAACATTATTCCGGCGAAGTGTATTAAACATTTTCCTCTTTCCTTCTCAGCAGTTACGACACTATAGCCGACAGCCGTGCATGCAGGGCCGTATTTGCTATGCAGAAACTTTGCATCGGGTTCGATCCCCGCTGCTGGACCACCAGAGCAGCAGCCCATAAGCCACAACCATAGCACCACCATTCGCGGCCGAGGCAATCAAACAAGCCTCTCCAAAACGCCGGGATCGTCGCTGCAGATAAAAGCGATGCGCCACGCGCCCCATGCGCCGAAGGTCACCAGTCGATTGCAGTGGGGCTCGTTACGACGGCGACCCCACTTTCAGCTGAGTCGTTAGCACCGTGTACCGCACAGAAATAACGACTGCGATGCTGGACGACCGGTGCACACACTCACCGCCGCACCTTATCGGAGTGCATTTTATTTCTGTCAAACTGCGCCGCTTATGTAGCCGATCACTTGGACAGGCCGGACGCTTGTCGCGCTTCAAAGACGCTCTCCCGATTTTGCTAAGTGCAGTGCTGTCCGCACCGCCGTATCTGTCCGTCTCCGTTTGTCTCCGGCCGTCTCCGACGGAGCTTTTTTTGCACCCGGCCGAAAGATTGGAACTGGACGGGATCATCTATAAACGGTTTAGCACGATTGATTTGCGGTGATTGCGGCATTCATTAGCGCGCGCCGGGGACGTTGGGGCGAGCTGACGACCGGTGCAGACCGCCGCGGAGTCGCGGACGTTTTACCTACCTGACCGGTGACCGACCTGCCGCGCCACCCTCGCCGCACTGCGCCAATTTAATCGCTCCAGCTTTCGGCGCAGCTCAGCGCTGGCGGTGCCGGTCGGGCCGGCGGTAATGGACAAAGTTCGAGTCATCCCCGGTAATGGCCAGGGGGCAGTTATCTATGACCGGTGAGCGGCGTGGCTGCACTGCCGGTCGCCACAATTATGCAGTCGTCGCCTCGCTACTCAGCGCCGGCTCAACGGAGGAGAACGGAGCGAACAGAGCGAAGCCGGAACGGGAGGGGACCGGGCCGCCACACCAAGACGGCACTCAGCCGATCGGTAATGGCTCTGGGCCTTTCCAAAACGGGCAGACGCCTAACGAGGAATGAATTAAACACAGACGCAGTAGTCAACGAAAAGCACACGAATGCAAGTTTGATAGGCTTTTAATTACGACTGGAAGGGAATGTTGCGGTCATTTTCATTCTCGCGCTTATTTTGCCTCCACAAATTGTTTTTGAGTGTCCAAGGTGACAGGGGTGAAAAAACAATGAGGGGTCAGTTCCTCTGGCTTCTCTTTCCCCCTATCTTCCATTCCCTCTCTCTCTCTCTCTCTCTCTCTCTCTCTCTCTCTCTCTCTCTCTCTCTCTCTCTCTCTCTCCTCCTTTCTACCTTCCTTCCATCCCTCTTCCCCTGCTCCCCAGTCGTGGGTCGGTGATTTGGCACCGCGATCCGGAGCGACTCGGCTCAGCTGGAAGGCTGGGCCAGAGGCCGACCGGGGGTCACCCGGTCACCGATTGTTTCGCGGCCGGGGAGGGCACTCCGAGGCCAATCGTGCAGAGACGCGCAGCACCGCCCCAGGGGACCTCGCAGAGCATCCCGACACCCCTGTCTGATCGCTGGGGGAGATATCGGTGCACTGGCGGCCAGCGCTCGGTAAGGCACTGTCAGGAAGGACAATAGGTTCCCTATCACGCGTGAAAAGAAGCGCATGACATTGTTCGACGATTGTAACTGTTTGATGCGCTACTGGAATTCGTGGTATTTGAATAAGTGTGACAATGAAATAGAACTCAGCAGCTTGGGAACAAGACATGGCCATGCATCATTCTGAATGTCGGTAATTTGGAGAGCATCAAAA